CACACAAAAAAGGAGAATTTTTTTTTTGTCATCATTTAATTACCCACATGTTCCAACCCTGTATGAGTTTCTTGAAAACTAAAGAAAATATTATGAGAACGTTGTTAACCAAGCAGTTGCTGGTAGCTACTGACTTCCATTGTATATTTTTCTATACTATAGATATCAATGGCAACTGTTTGGTTACCAACATTCTTCAAAATTTGGAACAATTTCAGGGTGAGTGAATGACAGGATTTCCTTTTTCTTTCTTTTTTTTTTTTGGGTGAACTATCCCTTTAAAATGATTTAAAATAAACCCCCAAAAAGCAACAAAATAAGCTAAACAACTAAAAATAAAGATGTAAGTAGCCTTAAAAGTGTGATTTCTAGACCTGGAAAAATCATGTGAAATTATAAAATCTTATAACCCCAAGGGCATTTTTATAATGCATATACTTATACATATTTTTATAGCTCTAAAATATGTTAGAAATTGTGAGCAGAAAAATATTTTTTAAAAAATCCTTATCCTTAATCCTTATACAGTACATCACAAAAAAATGGAAAAGTCACGAGGCCTTCAAATATTGTTGTGGACAATAAGGGGCCTTGGAGTCAAAAAGGTTGAGAACCACTGATTAGAACATCCTAGAAACTGCACAGCAACCCCCTGTAATTTTTTTCCCTCCAAAATGTAAAAATTGAGTTCTACATTCAAACTCTTTCATAAAGGGACATAGTTTTGCATGATAAACTGCAAGTAATACTGCATTCAATCCAACTAAATCCAAGCAGAGTAAAATGTCAGATCTTTTGTGCATTATCTGCCCTTAGGACTCCATAAACTGTGATGTAACAGTATGCTGTTCCACATTAAAGGCAAATGTGCATGTGAGATCAACACGGGCTGACATGGTTTAGTCAAACTAATTACATTACATGCCTTTGATGGAATTGTTATCATTCATTTAATCTACACTCTAAAAAATGCTGGGTTAAATACAACCCAGTGCTGGGTAAAATAGGGACAAACCCAGCAATTGGATTGTTTTGACCCCTGGGTCAAAACAGCCCAATTGCTGGGTTTGTCCCTATTTTACCCAGCACTGGGTTGTATTTAACCCAGCATTTTTTAGAGTGTACAAGAAAAAAAACTTTTCACAAGAAACAATTTGTTGTTGTTGTTGTTCTTCAAATATTTGTGCATGCTGAATGATTTAATGCAGCCTGTGGTTAGTGACGTCTTTACAAGCTGACCATATTAGGAACAAGAACTCAGCTGCAGGTCAACTCTGAAAAGTCATTTTGTTTATAAACATTCTAAATGTGGCTAACAGTTTCATACATCTGCTGCTTTTCTTTTTGGTCCTTGTGATGCTGATATAAGCACTTTGGTTGAATCCATCCAGGTGCATTCAGTTGCTGATCATCATTCCCATGGGAATGGAGCTAGCATACAAACTCAGACGTTATTGCATGACCACTTCTCAAGATGAACTGATAATGTACAGCAAAAAAAAAAAGGCTTTTATGCATTTAACATGTAATATCTGTGTCTTTTATTGTGAATAACAATAAATTCCAGCTAATGCTAAACTTCTCAACTGAATTTACATTAAGAATAGCGATAGCGAAAAATAGAGACCCAACCAGTATTTAATGCAGTCTGGGTTTTCTTTTACCTACCATTTCAAAGTGCACGACCATGTTAGCATGTGCCTAATTTGGCTATCTTATACCAAGTGACAGATTAATTTGCATCAAAATACCACAGACTATGAGTGAATACATAACCTCTGACATCAACAACAAGATATATGAGAAGTATTTTTTTCCTTATCAGCCTGTTGATTTAGCTACCCTAACCATGCATGATTACATTTCACAAAACTTTTCGATGTTATTTTTAGCATTTAGCTTTGTTTTATCCATAACTCTATCAGAAAAGACTAATTTTAGTCAATTTAGAACAATTGCTTTTAACCATTACTCATTTTTGGATTACACATTGGATATGTCCCATCTGTAGTACAAAGTTTTGTGACTCTAGGTTTGGCCCATTTATGATGACATGAAATAAAAGAAGGAATTCTAATCTAGGATTTTTTAAAGCTTTGATAGAGTAGAGGACTAATATTTCATGGGGCTTGTGATGCCCTGTCCGTGGGCCAGTTGGTACGCTCTAAAAAATGCTGGCTTTTTTCAACCCAACTTTGGGTCAAATATGGACTAACCCAACCGTTGGGTGACATTTTTACTAAGTTGGGTTAGTCCATATTTGACCCAAAGTTGGGTTGAAACAACCCAGCATTTTTTAGAGTGTAGTGGGTAGTCGTTTTGCAGGATGGGGGTGGAGGACAGTGGCAGGAGGGCTTTCTTTGTGTGATACAATGACATATGGGGTCTTCATTTCCACAGCCCCCATCCCCCTCACTCATAAGAAACACCCCATGAGACAAATATACCATCAATCAATCCCAGGACCATAAGAGCAGGACGTAGTTGGGTCTGCTGCCGACAGGGAATGAAGGAGGGGATCTGATTACAGCCTCAATGGGGGCTGTTCATTTTTAGCACCAACATCACATCATGAAGATTACAAAAAGATCACTGTTGGGATTCATCCAGTCATGATGCACTCTTAATTTTTTTTTTAAAGTTGTCACTGGTGTGGTACCCTTTCAAAAGGTACTAATAAATAGCATTTAGGTACCAATATATACACTTCAGGTGCTAATATGTACCTTTAAGGTACTATTATACTCCCTTTAGGGGTAAATAAGGTACAAAGATGTACCTTTTGAAAGGATAACGTCCCAGTGACAGCTTTTGTACCTTTTTTTCTGAGACTGTGATATTATGCCATACTAGTGTGTACAATTTACATTGTAGGCTACTTCTTTAATGTACAGTTTAACAAATGTTAAAAAAATATATTATTTAAATAATGTAAATTATTTTTGAAGTTGTTAATAAAACAGATTATTGGAGTAGCTTTTACAATAAAATAATATTTCACGTTAATACTTCATGTTTGTCACATAAATGTCATGTTTTACTCAATGCGTTCCTTGCGGTTTCCTATTTCAGTGTACAATTTAAAGTAGAAGACGGTGCAAAAGCTAGATCCTGTTTTAAAAAAAGGATTTACATGACAAAAAATATTTAGAGATTAAAATATGCTTCTTTAATTAGAAAGGCAAATTTGGAAATATACAAGTTGTGAAACATACTGCAGAAAACCACTAATTATAGATGTTGAAACTAAATGTGTTGCAACACCCCTTGGTCTCCCCTACAAATTTTCATAAGCGCCTTTATCGTGGCAGGATGCCATGTGCTTCCCAGTGTCAGAGCTCAAGCATCTCTCTCTCTTCACATCCACCATCACAAAGCCCAGTGACTGTGAATGTTTACTGTTTTCCAGAAGCCTGTTAGGGTCCCAGAGTTCTCCATGTAAGGCAGCAAGTGCACCAACAAGTCTCGACCGCATCTTTAAGAATTTAAGATCGGCCCCCTGATCTTGCTGCTCATGGGAACTGGACCCTCTGAGGAGGGAAAAAATCCCCTCCATCCTAAAATAGCCTAAGACACAGGAATGTGAACTAATTGGATGTAAATTGTTAGCATTTTTGCATATCAGACATGTTTACTTGTCTTGACCATGTCTAGTTTTTCAAGCCTCCCAGGAGAACGGGACAAGTAGCCTGATGTAGGCTAACTATGTGTGCTAAATCAGCGGAGTAAAAGTATAAAGATCATTTAGGGATGCAAACCCCATGTCAAAGTGTGAGGTAAAAATCTTCACAACTTACTTTTGTGGTCTTAAAGATTTGATAAGAAGAATTACATTTAGGCATTACTACCCTTGACATATGACACTACAAGATGTTTATTACAATAAGAATGAAATAGTGATATTAGTGATATAAAACAGTGATTAAAAAGAGTACAGAATTTACATCCTGTAAGTTTGTCATAAAGTTGGAATTTTATATAATTTTAGTAAGGAGGAGTTATGGACATGTAAATATAGATAGAGATAGAGATATACAGAGAGAGAGAGTATAAATACAAAATACTAGCTTGTATAATACACAAACACACACACACACACGTATATATACACACAAAATGTGCACATTTGTATAGCCTACATAAATACAGAAAAAAAAAATCTGGAAATGCAGTGCTATAAAAAATAAAAATAAAAATATACATATAGAAACCCGCATATAATAACACAGTAAAAGTTGGCATCAGCTTGTCGTTGTTTACACATATATTCATGAAGGACACAAAAGGCTGTGGTTTCGTGGAATGACCCAAGAAAAGGTTCACGCCCTTTATGAATAAACGTGCGGAATAATCACTGATTTGCACATCAAAAGGGACTCAGTCAAGCATTATTTCTAAACTTACTTGTGGAATGAAAAATCCTTTATCGCATTTTTCCATCTTTGCCATCAGACATTTTACATTCCATTCAGGATCCAAATGGTGTGACACCTGCTTCACACTTGGTTACAGGTAGACTTGGTGCACATTTTCACGTGGGTAGTGATGATTTTATATCAAACTACCAATGATAGAAACTTTCATTATTAAATATTATGGCATCTTACTAATTAATTAATTTCACTGACAGTGTAGACATAATCAGCAATCAAGCGGAGATTTATCAGCAACGCCTTTGCAAAGTCTTCATACTCAATTTGTTTTTCATTTATTACACTGTAGCCTATTGTACGCGTGTAATATTATTATTTGTTACAAGAGGACTCACCCTTCCCAAATACAGCTCGTCAAGTCCACAATCTATCCACTTTTCCACATCCAGGCGCCTCTGGAGTTCCTTTCTATTATATTTTACTGTGACTCGTGCTTGTCTCTTCTGCACACTCAGTCCAGCTTCCCGGCTGGTGCCTCGGTTCGGTGAGTGGATCTTATTGTTATAACGCCTCCCCATCCGATACGCAGCCATCTCCAGACTGACCCTCCGGATGGACACTTGCATGCAAATAACTGATCAAGAGTCTGGCGGAGTAGGTGCGCTGCTCCGGCACCAGACAGCGGCGGGCCGCAGGGTCCTAGAGCTGCGAGGTTAGCTACTGCCTTACTTTCGCTCTCATCTCGGGGTCTGGCGACCACCAGAGGCCCACAAAGAGGTGTTTACAATGTTTGGGGTTTGAGAGAATAGTGTGTTAGTTCGCCCAAAAATGAAAATGTGCTGAAAATTTGTCCAAACAGGTGATAAAAACATCACAATAATCCACAAATTATTAAAATAAAAAAAACTCCAGTCCATCAATTATCGTTTTGTGAAGTGAAAAGCTGCGCGTTTGTAATAGGCCTAAACAAATCCATCAGTAAGCTAAAGTCCAAAATCCATAGTAACGTTTCCTTCAGTGAAAAAGTTCATCCCCTGTTGTCCTCTCATATCAAAATCCACCAAGAACTGTTTTGGACTGTTTTCGCTTGTAAACGGTGCTTGATCTGTGCACATTTCTCTCCTGATTCAGACAAGACAACTTTTTCACTTGAGAAAGCAATATTATGGATGGACTTGTTTAAAGTTCTTAATAATTTTATTAAGGACTATTTATGATAATAATGGCTTCAAAATGTTGCTGGAAAATATCTGAATATATTTTTGAAAAGAAAATTGCTATTTATTTTAATTTCTCTTAATTTTGATTTATAGTGATGATATATTTTAAGACTAAATATTATCTAAATATATAGTCTAGTGTATACTATACTAGTCTATATACTAAATATGTAGTCAGAAATCAAGATAGCAATTTTTTGTCATGTATTAAATAATAATCAATCATTTTATTGACTTGGTTTTACTCTTTTTTTTTAGAAGCAACTATTTTTTAATTCTAAAATGCATACTTTTAGTAAAATGAAGTGGTCATTTCATCTAACATTATATCTATTATCTGAAAATACCTCAGTTAATTTGTCTTTATCATGTGAAATAACTGTTATTTAGTTGTCATGTAGACTTGTCATGTAGATCCTTACCAATTTACCTTGACTATCAGTACAGACGGTTCCCCCACACACACAAACAGATTGTTGTTCTGTCATGGTGGGAACTTTTTATTATTGACGCCCACTGTTTTTATACTGACCTCATGATATTCTTTATCCCCTGGCTATACCTAAACATAATCCCCCACAAACCTCTAGTAGCCTATCTTTATAGTTTCATTAAGACAGCACACACACACACACACACACACACACACACACACACACACACACACAC